CCTAAGGCGTAATATGATGTGGTATGGTTGTCACTTCTCGCTGCCCACAATCGGCGAAATCGGGAATATGACCTTTACTTACGTCTTCTATAACTTGATGCCATCGGAGTAATTCTTCAGATTTCAGTTGTAATCGTCTTTGGCTCCCGAAATCAATCTTTTGTTCATATGTAATGACAAAACCACAAAATTGGGGTACAAAAGGTTGTCCTGGGTACCCGCAAGGCCAAGCATGATTGCCATGACAGCCAGATGAAGTAGGAGCGCTACTGAATGTGCAAACCGAACAGGGTTGACTGAATTAGAGAAAAGCGTATTTATCGAAGGTATAAATTCTGGTGCGCTGTGTGAGGGATTCCTGATATGTATTGGTGAGCAGAGCGATCTCGCTGGTGAAAAAATAGGACATAGACTAAACTCCTCGTTGAGACTAGTAGAATGCTACAGGAATCGTTAATTTAGGCATCTCTCTGCATTTTGGACGAACTTTCTCTTAAGGTATCAAATAACTTCCGGTGACAATCGCATGTTATCAGTATATCTAAGGGGTTTATAAAACTTGGTGAGCTTAGGAGGATATTCCTGCAGGTTCTCGAATAGCAGATAGCCGAAGATGTGGCGGGGTGAAGGTTTTTTTCATAAAATCTCTGTGAGGAGAGATCGGGAATGTGCAAAAGAGCTCCCTTTAGGTAAAGCGCAAATGGAGTGAGAAACGAAAGAATCCTTGAAGATGGAATCTGAAAAAGATTGGAAGTGAATGTAGGTGAGGAGGAAAACGATGGCGTTTACTTCAAAGGTAACGGAACCATACCCGCGGAGAGGGTTCAGTCATCTTGGAGAAAGTTTTGTTACATGCATACCATAAAGCTGTGCAAGCTGTTAGTCAACACAAGGCTGTGGGTACTTGTCCCTATCTCGAAGGAGCAGTTCTGCTCCATGCTCGACAAGTCCACCACTGATGCCATCTTCATCTCCATTCAGATGATGAAGCGGCGACCCTATCTATCCTTTCCGGACTTCGTGAATGCATTGGAGCGAACATCTTGGCCCATGCTTCCGAGAGCGCTCAAATTTCCGACACACCTAGTCTCCATGTTAAAGAACTTGTACTAGGGGGGTGAGACAGCTGTGCGCACCCCACATGACGTGACAAAGATCCCGCTGCACTTATCCAACCTGGGATGTCAAAAGAACTCATAAAGGTCCACAAAAGTTATCCTCTACGCAGACGACATTGCACTGGTAGCGTTTAACAGGGAAGAACTCTAGGGCAAGATGCGAGGGTGGCAAGATGTGCTCGCTGTGAATGGGTTTCAGCTGAACGGAAAGAGGATCGGTGCAGATGTGCTCGCTGTGAATGGGTTTCAGCTGAACGGAAAGAGGAATCAAGTTCCTGAGTTCCGAGTGCACCGAATCCATCGTAGATCGACATGGCGAAAGCATCGGAATCGTGGAGGACTTCCAGTACATGGGGAGCGATCTGGCAGCTGATGGTAGCGTGGACCAGGCGGTAAAGGCTCGAGTAAATGCAGCCTGGATGAAATGGAGGTAGTCCACAAGCATCCTCCGCTACAGGCGGTGCTCGAAGACGTTCAAAGCAAGATGGGGCAGTGCGGGGCCGGTGATGAACTGCGGCAGCAGTTGCTTTCCCATGTGCAGAACTCACTAAAGGCCGCTTGACTCAACTGAAATGAAAATGCTGAAGTGACCCTGCGGCTGAATACGACAAGAGAGACTCAGAAACGAGGACGTCTGGGTGGTCAGACAGATGGCCACGATGCAGTTGAAGGCAATAGAACGCGACTGCGGTGGTATGAGCACGGCTGAGAGGGGCTTGTGGGCCACACCATGAGGAAAGTGTTGGCTTCGAAGTCCTAGGCAAGCCCGACAATCAGGCGAGGAGATTCAAAGAAAAATTGGCAGAGAACTGCATCAAGAGGAACTCACTGCAAGTGGCAGTTACGGCAGAGGGCGCATTGATGCGTGAATGAAGTGACGCGTTCTAACAAAGAAAGCGTGACGCCATACCCCTAGGGAAGAAATTATCATATATTAGGAGTTTCTGATGCTGTATGCTGATAGCAACGGGGAATATGAATGCGCTTTAAGTGCATTCACTCGAAGAGCTTCTATATGAAGCATATACCTCGAGAGGACCCACTGATTCCTGGCTATGCATGCTAGTAGGTCATCCCATTTAAAAATGCGGAGACATATAGAGGAATGGCAGGAAAACAAAGGGGATGGGGCCAGCAGGCTTCCAAATGGTATAATAGTATACCATTTCACCGAAGAAGTTCTCGAGAAACTGAGAAGAACCCGAGTGGTAAAAATCAGCGCCGATTTTCAAATTAGGCGTTGTCAGAGGAAAGTGCGCTGCTCAAATTTGAAACGTAGTTGCGTGTAATGGTGTTCTTAGGAATGCTAGGTGGAAGATTTGGTTCAGGAGCCCGAAGAAGGAAGAAAGGAATAAATTGCTGTCGTGAATGGTCCCATAATGTTCATCCTGCAAAAGAAAAAGGGGTGGATGAAGCCAAGTGCTGAATGTCTGAACACAGATCCTGGACCTTTGTCGAGCTTGCCCGACATCCCTGCTGCAACTGCTGGCCTAGTTATGTTCGATAAACTGAGGATGGTCAAGAGGGTTGTGTCGCATAGAGGTACTTGGTTTTCTTGTATGAAGCACGAACGCAGTACCTATTTCATGCCTCTAGCAGTAATGTTCTCAGCATGAGATGTCATTCACGACTGTGAAAACGCACCCGGCCCTAGATGAAATGTTGGTGGTCTCACAATTAGACCTCGAGCCAAAACTCTTAGTCGTCCAATTTGCATGAATGCAGATGAAAAGCCGCCCGAGTTCTTCCATGAGGAGTTAAGTGGGTTGCCCAAGTGGATGATCATCATAGCGAAGGATTCCCACACTGTGGCTTTCAAGCGGCTTTATACAGAGAATCAAATCGTTGCTGTTGGTATATATTGCCTGTTCCTCGGCAATCAGATCGACAAATGGATGGTACCACACAACTACAAGAGGGCCACCATTGCGCACCACAGTGGCAGACCCCGAGTAACTTAAGGCCGGCTTGGGACCAAACATACAGAGACCTGTTGCGACGTCCCTTTCTATTCGTCGCAACATAAAGCGGTTCGATTTTCAAACTGTTCTGCTCATCGTAGGCACTCTCCGACGGCGAAACGCTAGGCAACGTTTTAGCACTCGCGGAAATTGTGCCATTTAAAGCCAGTTTATTCGCGACTCGTTGAAATAAATGAAGGTATACCGGAGTCCAAGAGTTCAGGGCACTGGACGCGAGTAACTGGTGTACGAGGGACCTTACTAACTCAAAGCCCAAAGTATTACTAGTTTACTATTCTCCTCTTCGTTTTATATGAATAAAATCTTGCGCACTTCTGAATGGGATGACCTAATACTTCCAGTAAGGATCGCGGTAGAGATTGAGCCCGCTCAACGGAAGCCGGCAGACTTGATCTCCGGCTTGGGTGCCTCTTAAATACATAGAACTATCTTCCACCTCCAGCTATATGTAGGTGTGGAACGCCGGTGCTAGATTCATTATTTTCAGACTGTCTATGAACTTCTGTCTATAGTTTCCATAGGGGTGCTTCGAAGAAATAGTGAAATGAGTGAAGCTTTCTCTCCTACTGGGTCAGATTTGTACCCTCGTCATGTGTGGTATTAGCATCAGCTGCAGCCGACCACGATTTGCTGGCAGCCATAGCGCTGCTTTACTTTTTTAACTGCTGCACTTTCTTTGTTAAATAGCACGTTTCCTATAGAACTTTGGCTGTCGCCAGTTAGGGACAGAAATCTATGAAGTAATCTTCTCGAAGAGGTGTTAGCGCCAGTAATGAGCGAATTTCAGCTGTTCTCCTGAGCATGTGCAGAGGACAAAATCCAGACTACAATAAGAAGCTGGAAGATACGCTTCTGAAGGACTACAACAGTCGACATCGACCTGTAAAATCGGAGTCGACTACGGTGCAAGTCAGCGTTTACATGGGTATAAGCCATGTCGAGAAAGTGGTAAGCCGTACTGATATCTGTCAAAAGAAATGTTTTCATTGACTGATAAAACCTGGCATCCTATCGATTTTAGGTTGAGCTTTTTTCAGTAAAGTTTCATCTGTTTATTAATAATGAAATGGCGATAGGTGAGTGGACTTAAATAGATTGTACTCCCTCCGAAAAGGTTAACTACAATCGCTTCTCTCGGAAAAATTTGTGAGCAATGATATTTTCTCCCTTGCATCCGCTCGATGATTAAGGAGAATAACCAGTGGTATAAATCGAAAACGTCATTCCATGCCTCCTGAACCGCCCCGGCTGCTTGCGGTGATATCACTTAGTGAAAACGGATAGACTTGTGACCGATCGGGTGCTTTATCCATAGACGATACTGTCCTACTTACCGTACTGAAGGAGGAAGGCAACAATGAGGAGGGTACAGTAGCTGTGGATATAACAGACCTT